AGCCATCTAGGATTGGCTGCTTCCACTTAGTGATATGTGGTTAAGCCATTTCTCTTTAGCGCTGAGTGATGTCGCTTGGCATGGATGGACTGCAGTCTCTTCACCCGTCACCTCGTGGAGGACGTCTTGGTTCTTCCAAGTTTGGGTGGTTGTGGGTAAGCTGCCGTAAACATCTGCGTCCAGGATTTTGTGTTAAGGCCCAGAAGGTCGACTGCTGGGTCGCACCGTGCAACAATGTTTGGTTTTTTGAGAAACCACCAAACACTTCCATGATGGCTGTGCGGTTTCGGGTCCCCACCAGCAAGCAATGGCTTGTTTGCAACGTGCATACTCTTTGTGGGGAGGTGCCTGTTAAGGTCTCTGGCCCATTTCTAATCGGGTTGTCTGTTTCTTGACCCTTGAACTTTTCAGTGTTCTTGTGTGTTCTGAGTGATGGCCCCTGGTCACATGTGATGTTTCAGGTCTCCTCCCCCTGCTGTCCTCGTTCCCTCTGGTGACGCTGTGTGTGTTCCTGTCCCAGCCACACGTGTGCTGTCTGGGGAGCCTTCTTCAGGCACTGGCTGCATACAAGGTGCTCTGGGTTCCGCTACGGACGGTATCGCTGGCTCTTGTGGGAAGCTCCCCAGTCTGTGTCTGCTGCTCTGCGGATCGGGTCGGTCCCCTGCTCCCTTGTTTCCAGCAGGACATGCACCTCGCCTTCCCACCTCTTTCCCTTCGTGTGGATCTCAGCAGTTCCTGGGTGGTGCAGTCTGGCCTGTGTGTGCTCAGTGGAATGTGGGGCCAGGGACACCTACTTCCAGGAACCTCCCATGTGGCTCCCATGTGGCCTCCGCTCAGTCCCCCTGCCGTGGTCTCACTCCTTGGGGCACCTCTTGGGGACCTTGGAGGGCACTATGTCCTCAGTCCTCCATGGGCACCTGGTAGGCCACTCCCCCAAGTGCCTTGGAGCACACCAGTCAGCCTGACTCAGTTCTCCAGGTACAATCCTGTTCCTGCTGGCCTCCTTGTGTCCCATACCTGCCCACACCTCACACCCTGACATCTGCCATGTCCTCGAGGGACCGTATTTGTGTGATCATAGGGTAGACACCCTGTGTTTATGGGGGTCGCAGATGACAGGGTGGTGGGTGCTGTGCAGAGAGGACATCAGACTCTTGGGGGAGGGCTTTCCTTGTGCTCTGGGCATGGGGTTAGGCGGGCCCAGGCCTCCCTTTCTGGTGTTCACACAGCCTGTGCCCTGACAGCCAGGCCAGCTGGTGAGGCCGCAGCTGTCCCCCAGCCTCCCTCTTCCTGCAGCTGCACTTGTGACCCTAGGAGGGGCAGCCATGCTTAGCAACAAGAGTGCAGGGCATGATAGACAGCGGGTGACTTTTAGAGTAAGGACGTTCTTTGCAGTGTTTGGAAGGTGCTTTTTGCTAAAGACATCGTTCACTGTTTATCTGATAAATTTACCTGGCAACACTGGCCCAGAGGCAGTGCCACCAGGCATCTGGGGACATTTGTGCTTGTGACTCAGGGCTGGGGGTGTTGGTGGTCCTGACATCGAATGGGTCAGGCCTGGCAAGCAACCCTGGGCACAGGTGCACCTCCTCCCCACCACCCCCTGTTCCTCAGCTGTAGCAAGTGCAGCAGACAGTCTGATTTGGGGGCACAGGGGGGCCGGGGTGCACTCTAGCTTTGTTGGTCCCCAGGGTCTGCCTGGCGCACAGTCATGGGCACAGGTGGCCAGGGAAGTGCCTGAGCCCAGAATGGGGACCTGCTTGCCTTGACCTGCCTCAGCACCCCTGGGAACCTGGCTCCCTGACCAGGACCCTCAGAGGCTGGTGCTCCCCCACGACCTCACATTGTGCCCAGCCCTGCCTTATTCCTCCCCTGCCATCTTTCATGTTGTTTCTGAGGGTGGTTTTTACCCGAGACTTAAAATGAAAACACAGGTGCATGTGGCAGAGAACCCTAACAGTGCGGGGCGGTTTACGGTGGGAGATACCCCTTTGCTGCTTCCTCCCAACCTGCATAGACATCCGGAGCCCCGTCCTCTGAGACAGCTTTTTTTCCTTTATGACTCTTTTGAAATAATGGTGGATTCACAGGGAGCACGGGAAGGAGCAGGGAGGCCTGTGCACTCTTGCCCCAGTCCCACAGGGCGGTGTCTTGCCTCCTGGAGTCTGGGGTCACGATCAGGGGTGGGACACGGGCCACTAACAGAGCTCATGCAGGATCCCCGCAGACTTGATGCGCCAGCACGTGTGAACACACTTGCTGGTGTCTGTGCCTTGGTCACATGTGTGGCCCCTGTGACCTCGATGAGAACAGCTGTTCCATCACCACCACTGGGTCCCCTGTCCCCTGTGCAGCACACCTGCCCTTCTCACCCCAGCTCCTCTCCTGGCTTTTTACCATTTGTCTGACCCGTAGGTCACCTCGAAGTCTGACAAGTGGAACTGCTTGGGATTGGACTCACACACCTTGATACCCTGTGGTTCTGCCCACTTGTATCAGTGTGACCCATGGCTGCTGTTTGTGGTGGGAGTGGGGGTGGGGAATGTGGACACGATAGAGTGTGCACTGTAGGGTGAGCCCCCAGAGGTGGGACCCCAAGCAAGTCCTTGCTTTTCTTTCCTGTGGGGGTAACTGGTTTCTCCACGGCAGCACTTAATCCTGTACTGTCTGGGGGCACCAGCTGATGGGCTCTGAGGGAGGGGCCATGGACATCAGCTGGTGGGCTCTGTGGGAGGGGTGGGGAGCACCAGCTGGTGGGCTCTGCAGGGAGGG